CCGGAGGGGTGCTATTCCTGGTTAGCGACTGAGCGGCCTGGAATCTCTGCGATGCTCCACGGACGGGGGGGCAGGATCAGCGTTTGCCGCAGGTGTTCTTGACCCAGAGTGCCCGCAGATTTTCGCAGCACTTTGGAGTTCTGGAGGCTTGCTGGGCATGCGTGGAAAAGTTGGGGCCGCGCCGGGCTAGGTTCACCTCTGACAGCTTTCGAAAAGAGGGGGGCGGAGCAGGAGGAGGAAAAAGGGAGGAGCAGAGCGAATGAGTGGACGGGGAACGGGGGGGAGGACCGAGGAGGACCAGTGAGTATACCCAGCACACACACACATCACGTGTGGTGCAACGTGGCCTCCCGTCTTCAGCCCAGGTCATGCGGCTGACGGTGAGCCGCGTGAATTCAAGATACCAGTAAGGGCAACACAGACGCATGCGAATCGGCCTTCTCATGGTTGGACACAATGACGCATGTCAGTCCCCGGACGGCACGAGGCCGACTCAACGTTTACCTTCATTGTATCACGTCACGCGTGGTGGCGGTTGATGATGGGCGGCCCCCCGATGTCACCTGAGCGTTGTTGACTGCATCACAGCCGTATACACGACTATGCAATCCTGGCAGGCTGAGACGTCGCTCAGAGCGCGCGGAAGGCAGTGGGAATGGAGCGGGCGTTGTTGGACGAGCGCGCAGTAGGAGCATCAAGGACGCGAGAAAGAGCCAGACACCGCGCGCCTTCGCATTCCTGCCGCCATTGCGGCCGTCTTTGTCGCGCTCCTCGTCGTCGTCGCGCCCGTCGTCGTCGTCGTCCTTGTCGCGGTCGCCGCTGCCCTCGTCGTCGGCGTCGTTGCCGCACTCGTCGCAAGTCGCCCTCGCCGTCCGTCGCCGCCCCGAGTTCCCCCTCCTCGTGGCCGTCGTCGTCGCCGTTCGGCGCTGGCCCTGGCGCCCTGCAGCGCCGCCCGCACAGCGCCTGGAGGCATCCCCCGGAGTGCACACCCGCCGAGGGTCCGCCGCCGGCTCCCGATGTTAGCACGTCCGATCCCCTTCTCCTCCTCCTCCTCCTCCTCCTCCTCCTCCACATCCTCCTCCCTCCTCCTCCCTCCTCCTCCTCCCTCCTCCCTCCTCCCTCCTCTTTCTCTCTCCTCCTCTTTCTCCCTCCTCCCTCTCTCCTTCTCCTCCTCCGCGTGGTCGCGCCCGCCAGCTGGCGGTGCACGTGTCTCGCTGCGCTCGCTTGTCCGTGAGCTGCGCGGCCGCGACAGCCCTCCGGAGGGGCAGCGGAGCTCTGGACCTGCCTTGCTTGGCTGCTCTCTTCGAGGGCACGTCTTCGAGAAAACACATGTGTTCTTCCTGCTGGTGCTCTCGATCCCCCGTGTTCCTGGTTGCTTTCCTCGAGAAAGATCTCTTCCCGTGAGTGGTCGCGCGGCGCAGCCGCTCAGAGGGGCAGCCCCTCCCCCGCCTGTCAATGTGGCACAGCTGCTGACGCGGCGTGGAGGCGGGCACCGCCGCCGACCCCGCCGCGCCGCGCCTCTCCTCCTCCTCCTCCTCCTCCTCCTCCTCCTCCTCCTCCTCCTCCTCCTCCTCCTCCTCCGCCTCTCTCCTGCCTCCTCCTCCTCCTTCCCCTCCTCCTCCTCCTCCTCCTCAGCCTCCGCCTCCGCCTCCTCCTCCGCCTCCTTCCCCTCCTCCTCCGCCTCCTCCTCCTCCTCCTCCTCCGCGCGCCGCGCCCCTCCTCCTCCTCCTCCGCCTCCTCCTCCTCCTCCTCCCAGGGCCTTCACCGCTGCGCTCCTGTCTTTTTTTTTTTTTCTCGCTGGCACTCGCCACGCCAGCGGAGTCATGTGGCTGATCATGGGTCGACCCCAAAAATCCTCCTCCCAGGGCCCCCTTCGATCCGACCGGTCCGGTGCCGTCTTGCCTCCGAGAGGCCAGGTCCGGCTCGACTCCGACGGTCCGACGATGCGGTGCGGCCCGGTGCACGCTTGGGCGGCGCTGTTGCGCATCTCGGCGCGGCCGATCCGAGTCGATTCCATTATGACCCCGTGCCGCCGCAACGCGATACGAGAAGTACGGTGGGGGCAAAGACATACAGGGACTCAGGAGGAGGAGGCCCAGGCAGGACGAGGAGGAAGCAGGACCATACGCGGCTCGGGGTGGGTTCTATGTCCAAGAAGACGTGCAGAAGAGAGGCGACCCAGCTCACATGTTTGAGTTGTGGCTCGTGGGGGTCGCTAAAGAAAGCCCAGAAGCATGCGGCAGGTGACATCGTCATGTTGCAAGAGACCAAGCTCAGAGGCGAGGCCCACGCTTCAGCCATCGAGAGTGCCCAGTCGGCTGGGCGGAGGCCCGTCTCGCCCGCAGCATTGGACAGAGCTGGTGGAGGACCGAGCGGACGCTAAATCCCAGCATTATCATTTTAGGTGTTAGATGTTCTCCATGATACGATAATTTAAGGTAGGAACAGTGATTTATAAAAGTTATCCGAGTCATTGTTCTTCTCGAAGGCGATGCTCAAGCTTGGGCGGCCAGTGAGTGCACACTTGTGCCAGGCCACCCTGTTCGAGTATTGGGTCCATAGTCGGCAGATGGTTGTGGTGGTCATCTATTCGGTTTACTTCTGCACTGAAGAAGGCTTCTCGGCGAGGAACATGCACACAGGATCGGCGTTTGGGTCGGTTTCACAACCCCACGTTTTCTTGCTAGGTGTTGATGCCAACCTTCACCCAGGTGATGGTTTGGCTGAGATTCCATGGGGCATCTTAAATGTACACCTCGGTCAAGCCATGGCCCCATCTACAGCTTCGGGGGGGCAGACCAGCCTGATCGGCCTCTTCGTGCTGAGCTCGGTGTTGGATGAGTCTGCGCGCGAGGTCAGAGTGGACTGCGACAGCCCACGGGGAGTCAACCATCCTGTGACCAGGAGCGTCAGCTTGCAGGTGGACGTGATATCCAGGTCAGGACCCCAGTGCCCTACAGCCAACGCGCCCAGTAAGGACGCGCGCCTTCTTCTGGGATGCCCTTGCGAAGCTTGCCTCTGTGGCCCGTCCCTTGCCGTTTTCACTGGTCGCCGCCGCCCAACAAAAATCCCAACTTCAGCCCCCAAGGGTCTTGCGTCCTTGCCACGCGTCCTTACTATACGTTTTTTACTGCACCAACAATTGCCGCCACCCCAAAACAAAATTACGTTTCACTGGTCGCCGCCACCCCAAAAAAACCCAACTTCAGCCCCCAAGGGTCTTGCGCCCTTGCCACGCGTCCTCACCATACGTTTTCGCTGTACCAGAAGCGGCCAGCCAGAGCCCCACGCTCGGCCCGCCGGCCCAGCCGCCCCTCGCACAGCGGACCGACCGCGGTGCTGGAGGGCGTTCTCGAGCAACGCGGAGGAGCCAACGAGCAGGAGGAGGAGGAGGAGGAGGAGGAGGAGGAGGAGGAGGGAAAAGAGGAGGAGGAGGAGGAGGAGGAGGGGAAAGAGGAGGAGGAGGAGGAGGAGGAGTAGGAGGAGGACGAGCCAACGAGGAGCACCACCACCAGGTCGAGCGGTCTGGACAGGGGGCGCGGCATGGAGACCCTCTGCAGCACGCGCGCCGCGCTCATCGATCCATCGCGGACGGAGCTGGGGCAGATCACTTGGGTTCGGGCCCAGGGCCTGAGAGGTGCAGCGCCACGAGAGCACGTTGCAAAGCCGTTGTCCAAACCGTTGCACGCGAGGGGCCACTTGTGCCAGCAGCCGCAGAGATGCTTGGGATGGGTGGCGAATTGTTCGATGGATGTACAGTCTCTTCTCACTCCCCCCGATGGGCACCCTGCCTGGCATGCGCAACGGATTGCGGGGCAGCTCATCGAGCTCTTCCTCAAAGGAGGACCGTCTCGGAGGTTCTGGTTTGCGTTCTTGTGCGGCTGTTTTGAAAACCTCACTTTTTCTCCCGCCTCGCCCTTTCTCAGTTGCCTCTTCCTGGCGGACAAGGGGGCGATGAGGAGAGGGAAAGGGGGTAGGAGAGAGAGAGAGAGAGATGGGAGCGAGAGCGAGAGAGAGTGAGCAAGTTAGGTGCCCTCGCGCCATATCTGACTCGATACCCCTCCCACTCGTCCCCTCCCATCGCGCCGATGTCTTCTCTATCCCCCGACGCGTGTCATAGCGGATTTGGGATTCCAGAACAGATCCCATCGCGTTGTACACATCGGGTAATGAGAGTTGCGCACATGGAGAGGAATGTGGCGGATGAGCAGGAATATGAGCAAGAGGTCGAAGGATATGAGGAATCAGGACGTCGAGGACGAACAGCAGCAGGAGCGGGAGGATCAGGAGGACCAGGGGAAGGCGGATGAGGGGAAAGGAGAGGGACGACACCGAGGAGAAACCATCCGGATCCAGAAAGGTGGCCCGCGCTCACACTTTGAGACACCGAGACCGCTCAGATTAAGCGCAGGAGTGACCAGCTTTTGAAGTCCTATGCGTAAGAATAGCACGAGGAGAGTGCGGAACATCTTCCGGACAGCGTCAGGCGAGAAAGCAGAGTAGTATACTGCGGAGCGGGAAGGGTCGGACGGAGCCAGGAGATAAGTCAGTTCCAGCGTTCCTGAACGCTCTCAGACTGTGCTCAGAGCGTGCCGGAATGCTCTGAGCAGGCCGCGGCGCCCGAGACATCCTCCAGGGCCGCGGGGTCTCAGAGATTCCCTGATTTATTATCCTCGCCCGAAGGCGTCCTCTCGTCGTGGCTTCGTCCTGAGAGCGGAGGTTGAGGGACGCGAGGGGTCGCAGGCCTGGAGGTTGACACCAACACCAATATCGGCGTTGTGCCTGAACCGAGGGAAGAAGATCCCGATTTAGGTGATGGTGGTAACATTCCGGGTTCTAAGGTGGCCGAACTATTACCATCACCGGAATCGAGGATCATCTTCCCCTTGTGGAGGCAACCCCCTGTTTTGGTGTTGGTGCCCATTTCCAGGCCTCCGAAGGGGGTCTGGGCTTCACCTCTCCCCCCCACCCAGAGGCTGGAGCCCCCCCCCCGCCGGCGGATGGCGCTGGGCAGCGGCCTCGCGGCGTGGGCGCCGCGCCGCGCGCCCGCGCGCGTCGGGAGGGGGGAGGGGGGGGGGCGGGGCGGGGGAGCTCCCGCAGGCTTACGTCGGGCATGTCCCTCTAGAGGAGGAGTCTTGAAAAAATAGCCAGGGAATGGTCATGTGATGAATTTCCTATTATTTTCGACTATGTTCGAATTTGCTTTACTATTTCTATTTGTTCATCGAAAGTCCGCCTGTAGGAGGGCATGCCCCTCTACAGGAGGAGTCTTGAAACATAGCCAGGAAATGCTCAGGGGATGAGTTTCCTACTGTTTTCGACTATCTGTGAATTTGCTTCTATTATTTTTCTGTTTGTTCATCCAAAGTCCGCCCGTAGGAGGACATGCCCGACCTAGCCGCAGGCACACCGACGCGCGACGAGAGCAGGAAGGTGCGCATCCCTCCCCTTGCGAGGAGCGGCGGCGACGGTCGACACATACAAACCAGCAGAAGCAGGATTTCCCTGGTCAGCGCCCCGAGGGCACGAGCCCCCCAGAGGTGAGGGGGACCTCCTTCTCAACTCTCCTCCCCCCTCCCCTTTTCCTCCTCCTCCTCCTGCTTGTCCTCCTCCTCCTCCTTCGACACATAAAACGGCAGTCCGCGCGGATTTCTTGGATCCGCGCTGGGACCCCCGCCCTTGGCGCAGGTAGGGGGGCCCAGCTCAGATCCAAGAAATCCGCGCGGACCGTCGGTTTATGTTTGTGCAGTTGCTTGTTTGTTCTGGACGAGGGTCGAGGTCTTGCGTTGACGCTTCTCGGCGAGGACGAGGATCGAGAGTCGAGGTTTTGTCGAGGCTCCGCGACGGCGGGGATCGGCGAACGTGCAGGGCCCGAGAGCGTATGGCAGGTTCGCGCCGCGTCGACGCTGCGATGACCCCACCGCAGGGATTCAAGGTTTTTGGATCGAGATTGGAGGAGCGACGTTTCTGGATGCTCGTCTCCCTTTCTGGCCTCCGAGAGGCTCCTCATCACCACGGCTGGATCCGTCTCGAAGTTCTTCCTGGAACACACCCCAGGGTGTCTCCGAGGGTCGACGTGTGACCCCTTTTTCAGGTATATCCGGCCGCTCGAACATCTCGAGGCCGCTGGCTTTCGGTTGGGAGCCCCAAGTCAGGTGGTGGGGTATCAGGTGGTGACCTGGAATCTCCAAAAAGTCACCGCCGGGCCTTGGAACACGGGATCGCCGCCAGGTTTCGTGACTCCTCGACCCACCAGCGTTCGGGGCATCCTCGAAGAACCACACGAGTACCCACACCAGGTGGTGACACCCAATCGCCCGAGACTCACCGCCGGGTGTTGTCACCACCACGTTTGGGGATTGCCAGAATTCGAGTTTTGGGAGGCCAGCTTCGGGGTCCGGGGGCCGTCGGAGAACCCGCCAACTGCAGCTCTCCGTGGCCGCTTGCGGCAGTCTTGCCACTTCGTCCTGGACATCCCGCGCCTCCGCCCGCGCCTCCTCGTGTCGGCCGCATGCGACTGCATCCGCACACCGCACCCCACCGCCAAAAGGGCCTTCGCCGCGGCCCCTGGTGCAGCCCTCTGGAGCAGGGCCCAGGTCGATCCGATCGATCCGCTTCGATTATCGGTTCCTGCTGGCCCGATCCGCTTCGATTTCGATATTCCGACGGTCCGATGCGGCTTGATGTCTGCAACGCACTGCTTCTGCATCTTGGCGAGGTTGATCCGATTCGATCTCGACTCCGTGCCGATGCGAGCCGATTCGGTGCACATTCTGATTCGGTCCGATGTCTCGATTCGGAGATGACTGATCCTGCCATCGCCAGAGGGCTTCGCTGCGGCCTTCGGGCAACCCTCCCGGGGGTGGACAGGAGACCATGGCGTTTTTCTTTTTGACAAAAGAGCGCCATGAACTACGAACGCGGACACGACGCTGGGGCGTCTTCGGCTGCCTCGCCTTCCGTGGTATGGGCACGGTCCTGTTACCAGTGCGCACGCAGCACTTCAGACGCTGGGGGCTGTTCCCGAGTCCCTCCTTGGCTCATGTTGCCCGAGGGACCCCTCAGTCCTTGTCTCCACCGCCAGCTCGAGATGCAAGACGGCTTCACTCCTTCCCAGTGTGTGTGGATGTGGATCTCGCCACATTGGAGGAAGCCCCTCGGTTTAGCGCGAGATCTTCCTCTACACCCCTGGCGGTGGAGTCTAGAGATCAGCGGAGGAAATTCGGACGATCGCGTGCGAGGAGTGGGCATCGCATGATCCACTCGACCGTGCCCTCGCTCCAACTCTCCCAGTCTCGCTGCCCCCCTCATCCCTCCTCCCTCCCCGACATCCCTCCGTCCGCCCCTCCATCCCGTTTCGTTCTGGATATTTCTTCCTCATCGCATTCCCAGGCGTGTCGGTAGGGCGGGCCAGGCATTTCCCCAGAGATTTCTTCATGGTTTATGATGTTGTAGACTGAAGCTTGCAACATATTCATGGATGGGTGAGGGTCGTTTCCAAAATGGGACTCTCGCTGGAGCGCCGCGCGCATTCGTTTGCCAAGGTTGCAACATATTCAGGAAGCGAAGGCTCGCTTTCAAGATGCTGTTCACGCTTCAGCGCCGCGTGGTTCGTTCGCAGATGTTGCGACAGCTTTAGGGATTTTCAAGACGGGCTCTCGCCTCAGCGCCGCGCACATTCGTCTGAGTTGCAACGGTTAGTTAGAAGGATGGATGGCGATTCTTTGTTTCAAAAGATGCTCAGGAGGGGGAACAAAATAATCACAGGCACAATTGATCGTTGATCCCCCGGAAAATATAGGAAAATATGGGAAGTGGGGGGCAAGGCAAAACCACCGAAAATAGCGGAAAGTATGTGGAATCCTGTTATTTGTGTGTGTGTGTATATTCGTTCATCGCTTCGCTCATGCCGCCGGCCCTGGAGCCCTCTTTAGGGCCTCTTGGGGGCCTCTTGGGGACCTCTTGGGAGTCTATTGGGGCTCCTTGACGGCGTTTTGGGGGCCCCCAAAGCCTCTTGGGGGGCTCTTGTGGGCCTCTTGGGGCGGGAGGGGGGGTAGTCGAGTGCGGCTCCCCCCTCGGAGGCCACGATCCTCGTGAGGGGTGTCGACAAATTGCCCGGTCCGGGGTCTCCTCCCGGGACTTGCCCGGGGTACTTTTCGCCTGGGGACCCCCAGGGGCCGCCCCGCGCGCGCGAACTAGAAATATTTTTAACCAGTTACCGGAGATCTCAGCACGCCTCTGGCCCGTTGGGCCGGCGAATTTGTGTCAGGGCCCCGTCAGGCTCGGGTTCCCAGAACCTCCAGACAGGTCGCACTGCACGGTGCGAGTGTGGCTCAAATTCAAAGAGCGGGGTTATCGCATGCAGTTTCTCCTGCACTGGCGACAACAACAATGTGGTGCAACAGTTACACGAGAGGCGGTCTTGTTTTCGAGAGGGGATGTCGTTGAACACCTCGTTGAATTGTATGGTCGTCGTTTCTCGCGTGCCTGATTTCGCACCACGCGGATGCCAAGGCAGTTCCTGGGCTCTCGCCACATTGGCATGCCCATGTGGCGCCCTGGTCTTTCAAGGGGGCGCTTCTTGTAGTGGGCTTCTTTCAGCATCATTGATGCGTTTTGGCGTTCCTCTGGTCCCCCTTCCTCTTCCTCCTCCTTTACCTCTTCCTCCTCCACCTCCTCCTCCTCCTCCTCCTCCTCCTCCTCCTCCTCCTCCTCCCCCTCCTCCTCCTCCTCCTCCTCCTCCTCCTCCTCCTTTCCTCCTCCTCCTCCTCCTCCTCCTCCTTCTCCTCCTCCTCCTCCTCCTCCTCCTCCCCATCGCCCCTCCCTTTTTATGCTCTGCCTGGACCACGCGGACACCTGGAGGTCTCGACCCCTTCTCGAGGACTTGCGCTCCAGCCCCAGCCTCCTGGCGGCCCCGTGGGCCTGGTTCGGGTATAGCCAGGACCCCGGGTAAGGGGACCCGGTTAGTGGTAGGGCCCTGGGGCCCCTCAATTGGCCAGATTCACTAAACCAGGTTTGCCGTAACTGGTGTTTTCGGGTGACGGCAGTTCCGTTTAGTGGAAATAGGGCGGGGGGGCGCCCCCGGTACAAATCACTAAACTAGGTTCCACTAAACCCAGTTCTGCCAACGCCCGACTGGTGAGAGCCCACGGAGAGCGAAAATTCTTCGAGGTGTTGCGCCAGGGCTAGACCTAAACGGTGTTCGGGCCCGGGCAATTCCGTGGGCCGTTATCGTTTCGACGTCGTTTCGCGGCAGAGGCGGACTGGAGACGAAACGAGGGAAAGCGAAACCAAAACGAAAACGGCAAACACCGTTGAGGTTCAGCCCTGTGCTGCGCCACGAGCTGATCACGACGCCAGGCGGCCCCGGTCTGGGCCTCGAGACTCGATCCCCCGAGAAGGGTGCACAGCAAGTTCCAGCCCCGCCCCTCGCTGCCCTCGGGCGTCCTTTGCCCCCCCTGGTCCTCCCCCTCCGAGCGCACCTCCCGGCGGTGCGCCGCCGAAGCCGCCGTCCCCCCCCCCCCGCGAGTCGCTGCTGCTGGCGCTGCTGGCGGCGGCGCCAGGCGGCCGCGCCCCCTCGGGAGGGGGGTGGGGGGGGGGCGGGCGAGCGGGCGGGCGGCCGGGCGAGGCCTCCAGCGTTGAGTCGGGCCTGTCCCCCTACAGGGGGATGTTCGGCGAAGCATAAAAATGATCCCGGCAAAGCAACCTAACAGCGATGTGTAGGAGCATATCTGGAAGCATTCCCCTTAAGATTCAGATGAGAATCCAGTTGTAGAATTGTGCTGTTCTCAGCGTAGTCGCTCAGCGCAGCCTCACACAGCCTCAGCCTCAGCCTCAGCCTCAGCCTCAGCCTCAGCCTGCCTCAGCCTCAGCCTGCCTCAGCCTCAGCCTCAGCCTGCTTCAGCCTCAGCCTCAGTCTGCCTCAGCCTCAGCCTCAGCCTCAGCCTCAGCCTCAGCCTCAGCCTCAGCCTCAGCCTGCCTCAGCCTCAGCCTCAGCCTGCCTCAGCATTCAAAATGTGGCCCGGGAATGGAGTTCTGGGAACTCGAAGAACACGAAGTGGCCTACAGTTGGCTCCGGGCATTCAAAATCATGCCCAGGAATGGAGTTCTGGGAACTCGAAGACCACGAAGTGGCCTACAGTTGGCTCCGGGCATCCAAAATCTGGCCCGGGAATGAGTTCTGGGAACTCGAAGACCACGAAGTGGCCTACAGTTGGCTCCGGGCATCCAAAATGTGGCCCGGGAATGGAGTTCTGGGAACTCGAAGAGCACGAAGTGGCCTACAGTTGGCTCCGGGCATTCAAAATGTGGCCCGGGAATGGAGTTCTGGGGACTCGAAGACCACGAAGTGGCCTACAGTTGGCTCCGGGCATTCAAAATGTGGCCCCGGAATGGAGTTCTGGGAAGTCGAAGACCACGAAATGGCCTACAGTTGGCTCCGGGCATTCAGAATGTGGCCCGGGAATGGAGTTTTGGGAGGTCGAAGAGCACGAAATGTGTGACTGTTGGCTTAAAACCACTTCTGCGGCACCCTGTCCGGCAACCGCCCAGACCCCCCTGTGGAGTCATCTGCTGCTCTCCTTTTGACCCTACTAGAAACCTATCAGCAAACGCTGTTAGGTAAATATTCAAACATGTAAGAAATAGCCCAGAAATCGTCAGGGGATTATTGTTTGAGTATGTTTTTTGCCTTTTGGGTGTATTTTTTTTTATTTTTCGTCGAAAATCCCCCTGTAGGGGGACACGCCCGACATAATTCTAGCGCCAGGACAGGACCATGTCGCCCCCACGGGAACCTGGGAAGAGTTGTCGGGGACAGCCTTTCAGTCCTTCCCGCCCCGAGAAGCCCCGCCCCGAGAAGCGTCCGTCCAGATTCCAGCCCTTCCAGCCCTGGCGATCTCGCCCTGTCTGTCTCGTCGTTTCAGCCCCAGCCACTCTTTCCAGCCCTTGCCACTTCCACTTTCATTGAAGTTCCAACTTCCACTTTTCCAGATTGTCTGTAACGTGGGATGACGGTTAAGAAGTCCCCAGGGGCGTCACGAATCAGCGTTCTGGGCGATGATCAATACATTGGGTGATGGGCTTGCTCGTGAGTGTCACCGTCGTCCTTGAGATTATGTGTTTTTCCTTTCCCGGCGGCAGAAGACTATTGCCGTCATACATTACCCACATGCCTCCATGCTGGAGGAAAGGTTGGGCTTATTGTGTGCGTCCTGCGGAAGGGGCATTCTCCCACGCCTTGCGGTTAGCTGTGCTTGCATGACCGGTCGTTCACGCGCCAACCAGTGCGCAAGCAGGGGCAGACGGAGGAGAAGGAAAAGGGGAGGGGGAGGAGAAATGGTGAAGGGGCGGAGGAGGAGGACGGAGAGAAGGAGAGATCGGGCAGAAGAGAGGAGGAGGAGGAGAAGGAGGAGGAGGAGGAGGAGGAGGAGGAGGAGGATATGATGATGCTGATGATGATGATGATGAGGAGGAGGAGGAGGAGGAGGAGGAGGAGGAAGAGGGGGAGGAGGAGGAGGAGGAGGAGGAGGAGGAGGAGGATGAGGATGAGGATGAGGATGATGATGATGATGAGGAGGAGGAGGAGGAGGAGGAGGAAGAGGAGGAGGAGGAGGAGGAGGAGGGGGGAAGTATGGAGGGGAGGGGGAAGCAAGGAGGGGGGAGGATGAGGAGGAGGAAAAACGAGAGGAGTAGGTTCGCCGAGGCTCCTCGCCACACCCGGCCCCAGATGCCCCCGCCTCGAGTCCCAGGGCCCTCATAAAGCAGCCTTCGGACGAAAAGCTGTCCAGAGGTTGCGACGACGACGACGAAGACGATGAGGCCGACGACGGCCTCGACCACGGCCTCGACGACGACGACGACGACAAGGACGAGGACGAGGACGAGGCCAAGGCCAAGGCCGACGACGACCTCGTTGACCACGAGTCTGAGCGGACCTTGGTCAGAAGGGAATCCTCGCGCGGGTAGCTTCTCACCTGTGCCCTAATGCGCCCCCACCTCCCCACAGGGCTTAGCCGTGGGAGGGTGGAGGACAGGTTCGCAGGTTCCAGGCACCGCCCGATCTACCTCGAGTTAGTCAGCCGCGCGTGGCCGCTATCGGGCTCGGCGCGCGGATGGCCTCTCTGCGCGGATAGTCTTCGCGGAGAGGGCGTGCGTGATGCCGCCACCACTATCGGGCGCCGCGGCCGTGCGCAAATCGTTGCCGGACGCTACTTGGCGCTGCCCAAGGCGCACGGTGTAGCAGAGGCAGGCCATGGAATGCATGCTAACGTTTTTTTTTGTCCACCGTCGTCGCCGAAACGCAGAAGGCAGCGGTGCCTCCCCGCGGCAGCAGAAGGCTCGTGGGATGTACCGAATTGCGGCCGCGCGCGCTATGCGTCGGCGCGAATCGAAGTTGCAAGTGGAGAGCGAAACGGGTGAGGGGTGCCGAAAGAGGGGCGCGTGCGCGATACGGCTGCGCCCACTGAGACCATAGATAGGGCCTCCTGAGGCGACGGAATGTGTAAGGGATGTGCCGGGTTGGGAACGCGTGCGCCATGCGGTCGTGCCCGCTGAAGCCGTAGGTGGAGCTCCCTACGGGGCCACGAATAATTTGAGGGTTGCGCTGAATTCTGGCGCGCGCAATGCGGTCGCGCCCGCTGAGACCGTAGGTGGAACTGCACGTGAGGCTTTGAACGTGTGAGGAGCGTGGCGGAATGGGCACAGGGAGAGCAGAGGCAGGATGGGGGACGGGGAGGAAGAGGTTGGGCGCGACGCTGCATACTTAAAGCGGGTACCCAACACGCAACAGGGGCTTTGAGAAATGTGCATCAACATAAACCGTGGGAGGGCCGCGCGGATTTTTCGGGTCGGCGCTGGACCCCGCTTGGCGGCGCCTCTGGCGTCGCCCCTGGCGCGGTCCGTTCGCCAGGTCAGCCGGAGGCCTTGCGCCGACCCAAAAAACCCGTGCGAGTTTCCAAATTCAGTTCCATTTTTTTGAGTGGGGCTGTTGCTTGTCTAAGGGCTTCCGGTTCGATCTCGAGTTCGTTGGGCTCGATCCGGTAGCGATGTTCCAGCGATCCGATGAGGCCACACACTTGAAAGGCGCATTTGCGCATCCTGGCGAGGTCGCTTCAAGTCGTTTTCGAGCGTGAGGAGCAGGAGGCCCCCCCCACCCCCCCATGGCACGTCTTCCCGCCTTTTCCCTTTTTCCCTTTGTCATCCCTCACCTTCCATTTCCTCCACCACGTGATCGCCTGATCGCTGGAGGTGGGAATTTGTGACACTTGATTCGTTTTTTTGAATATTGCTTCCCCATCCTCATCCTCATCCTCATCCTTTCCCCCTTTTTTCCATCCTCCCTCCTCATACTCATCCTTTACAGTTCACCCTGTCGTCGTCCTCCTCCTCCTCCTCCTCCTCCTGCTCCTCTTCCGTCGTTTCCTCTTCCTCCGCTGTATGTTTCGCACGCATTCCTAAACGTACGCCTCAGCACCTGGATGCTACGGCGCGCTCACCTGGTCTCGAGTAGGCCCGGACACTTGTCCGCACTGGTACCCAGAGGCCCGCCCCGCGCTCTTCAAGCAGTGACGAGTTCACCCATCCAGCGACGGCACCACCAACACGCGACGACATCGACTACAAGGATCCCCCTCCTCTCCATCCTGTTTTGCTTCACGCATTTGGGGTACGTTTCGCACGCACGTCTTAACATACATCAAAGTATGTGGAGGATGCGGCCTCGTGCACCTGGTTTAATAGGCCTGCGTCACTGGAAAAGTTTATGTCCCAATGTTACAAAAGTACTTATTGCGAGACGAGCGTGCGCTGGCTGGTGTTTTGCATCGAATATTTCCGAGGGGGCTCTGAGTCACACAAACTACGAACAACTCTTATTAATCCCATTGGATTTCATGTAGTATTCGTATTTGTTATTTACGTCGACTGCACGGACTTCGGCTGTTCAAGAGCGTGCTGCCGACATTGGTAGCATAACCACTTGACTCCATATCCGCGGCTCAAGAGGGATCAAGAGCATCGCTTCGTGTTGTTCCCTCTGAGAAATGCGCCCCTGTGGCCAGCCAGGCGACAAAGGCAAAGGCAATGGAGGACGGCCTCCAGGACCCCAAGGCAATCCTGCCAGCGGAGACAGCGGAGACGCGGGTGCGGATGCAGTCGTGGAGGCAGCGAGGACAGCGATGGGAGAAGATGACAGCGACCTGGCTGAACCAGAGGAGCGAAGCCAGCGAGACGGTCGATGGCAGGAGCGGGCTCCATTGATGGATGCTGGTTTTGCGAGATGTTATCCAGAGGGTCAAGGTCTGAAGTACGAAACGCACCGGAACTCCAGACGGAGGGCGACGGTCTTCCAGAGGCTGTGCAAGGCGAGGTGCACCAGTCGTGAGTGAAGGATCCGACGCCCTCTTGCAGAGATTGCAATGAGATGCGTGGGACGCGTGCGAGAGCATAAGGTGCGAATGGATAGACACCGAGGAAGCCTTCGACGATATATTCGGCAAGGTAGACGTGCTGTACAGGTACACCCAGAAGGTGGAGTTGCCAGGCGGGTGCGACGCGTTTTTCGAAGAGTCCAGTCGACTACCCACGGGGGCGTTGAACGCGTACGTGCTGAGGAACGGACGGGAGTTATCCAAGTTAAGGGCGGTGGCGCTCGACCTACCGGGCTTACTGGCGGGCTGGAACTTGACGACGAGAGTTGGGGCACCGCAGCGGCAGACCCCCAACTTGAAAGCGCTGCGCAACAACAAGCTGAACGCGCAGGTCGTGAGTCGTGACGGATGCGCTCGCGACGATGTTCGGCGGCGACCGCGTAGCCCACGGGAAGGACATCGGCATGGAATATCTATCATGGAGCGGGTGATCCCTGCGAAACCGTTCGGACCATAGAGGAGGATCTATTTCGTTTGTATATACTCTCAGGTAGGCTTGCTGAGATCGGAGTGGCCGACGCGGCCCACGTTGTCCCCCCCAGGTTCGGCACTAGGGCCAGACACCCAAGTTCTACTTGGTTTCTTCGTCCAATGGGTCGGCGCAAGGTTTGAGGCGCCCCGAGCCGTTCGGCATGCGTTGATTTGCCGGCGCGCTCAGACACTGGAGGACCATTGCGGTAGGATCCCCAAAGGCCCGCCGGAGAGCCAGCCTCATCTCGAGACCCCCTTGGGAACCTCGGAAAGCACCTGGCGGCCAACGTTGATCTGCTTCCGCACTGCCAGCCCAGGATTGGCACGCCCCCTGTTCCCCGCGCTGAGCCCAGCCAGGCGTCGGAGTTTAGCATTGGGGTCGACGCCGATGAGAAGGGCGGCGCACTGCGCTAGGATGGGGAGACCAGCTCCCGCACCTGCCAGGTCGTCCAAGCTGTTCTCTAAATGAAGCCGCGCGGCGACTGAAGGCGCATCGGCCCGCTCCGTTTGCGGCGCCGGCTCCGGGGGCGGCGGCGCAATGCTCATGCCCAGCAATGTCAGATCACGGGCGTTGTCCAGCGCCAGATGTTGAAGGCCGAACATGCTAATTAACGCCAAGGGATTGTGCTCGGAAGCTCCACTGCGTGGCATGAACAAGCTTTGCGCAAATATTGCGTTGGAGAGATTGGAGGCCCACTGCGCCTGGCGTCATGCCCCTGGGGCGCGATGCAAGCTGACGCGCGCAGCCAATGGGGGTATCGGATTCGCGCGCGCGGCCGAACGTGTGGCCAGTCTTTTTTTGCGCGTCGAGGGGGCCATCGCGGGCAGCAGTTCCGCAACCTCCCGCGTCAAGGCGCGCCATTTGGAAAGTTCGGGCATAATTACTTCGAGCGCATAGTATCCTGGCGAAGGCCCCAGCTATATGCAGATGTGAGAATCGCCGTTGCGGGCGTCGCCTTCGGCGGATCTCCCCTCGCGGGGCCACGAAGCCTTGCAGAGAATTTCGATATGGTGCGGAACCAGGTGCGGGCGCCGCCATTGGTTTCTTCGGTGGCGCCCCATCTGGTGCCGCGAAACGCGTGAGGGGCGTGCCGGAATAGAGTGGGGCCGCCATGCGGACGTCGCCGCTGCGGCCTTCGCGAGGGTTCCGCGTGGGGCCACGAAACGCGTGAGGGACGTGCCGACGTGGGCGTGGGGGCGCAGGCGAACGTCGGCGCTGGGGCCCCCAGTGGAGTTCCGCATGGAGCCACGAAACGCGCGAGGGGCGTGCCGAAATTTCAATGGGCGGGGGGAGACGCGCGTGGCCGCGGCCATTGGGGCCTTCGGCGGAGCTCCCCACGGGGCCACGAAACGCTACACTTGGTGGCGCGGCCGCCCGTGTTCACAGCCACTGGGGCCTTCGGTGGAGCCCCCTATGGGGCCGCGAAGCGCCGTGCTGGGTTGTGCTGGGCGCGCGTGATCACAGCCTCTGGGGCCTTCGGTGGAGCTCCCCATGAGGCTTCGAAACGCCGGATTGGGTGGCGCGGGACACATGTGATCACAGTCGCTGGGGCCTTCGGTGGAGCTCCTTAGGGGGCCGCGAAACGCTGGACTGGGCGGCGCTGGGCGCGCGTGGTCCTTCCTGGGTAGCGCGGGGCGCATGTGGCCACGGCCGCTGGGGCTTTCGGTGGAGCTCCCCACGGGGCCACGACGCCCTGCGCTGTCCGACGCGTCGCGCTGCAGAGGCATGCGCCCGCACCCTGGGGGCACGGCCCGCGCCCGGGGGGCGTGCCCCCCAGGCATGCCGGCGAGGATTCGCAGTCCCAGGCCAGGAGAACGCGGCATGCCCCCCCCCCCCCGACGACGGTATTCCCGTGGATCTATTTTTGCGGCCGCTAGTTCCCACGGGCATCAGATTGCCAATCTCACCCTAGCAGGGGTGATTTTTGGTGGACGATGTAGGCGTGGAGCACTGCACCACCTACGATCTACGCGCCTGTTTTTGTTGCGAGCTCACCAACGCGGCGAGTTCGCCGCGCTGGCTGGGACTGGCATCGAGGTCACGGGCCCCCCTAGATTGTTCAGCGACTGCAGTAACGTTGCGGATCTACAGGAAGCGCCGCGTGAGCTGCACCTGTCGAATAAACGAGTTTCTCGAATCACTTCGCTCACTCCGCCAGCCCATCTTGTCTCGCCGCTGTCGTTTGCCTGGGCGTTGCAGCCAATGCTTCGCCGCAGGGCGGCCGGCATTTTCTGGGGCGGCGCGCGGCGAGCGTCGCGGGTGAAGCAGTTGCCGCGAAATCGCTTCCCGTTGTTCCGTCGTTGACCCCGGCGGCGTTGTCTTGGCAGACGCAGGTTGTCAGCTGGGTTGTCGGCGCTTCGCTCGGGGCATTTTGGGGCCAAACGTGGTCGTGGAAAAGACGCCTCTTTGCGTGCTACTCCGGGGTCTCTTGGGAGGCCTCTCGGGGGCCTGTCACGGTATTTTGGGGTCTTTCTCGGGCCTTGCAGAGGCCTCTTAGGGGGTCTCTCGGGGCATTGGGGGCCTCTCGGGGGCCTCTTGGGGGACTCCAGTTGAGGAGGCCGCGGCTTAAACTGACCCCCCCCCTTCGCATAATTCCGTCCAAGAAAAGCCGAAATGTAGCCGTGCCCTGTGGGCGAGCAGCTTTCCTGCGAGCGTGGCTTTTTTCATTGAGCGAGCAGCTTTTCTGCGTGCGCGAGTAGCTAGAGCTTCGGCGCGTTTGAGTGTCGGGCGCGCCGGTCTGCTCTAGCGCAGCCCGTGCGAGCTTCAACCCGATTCGACTGCGGATCTGTGCGTGCGCCATCGCTCCATGATGCGTTCTGCGAGCTTCAGGACATGGCGTGTTTTTTGTTGTCGCTGTGATGATGCGCGCGCCCCGCACGGGCGCCTTCGTCTGCCCTGGCCGATTGGGTGGGCACTGCAAGATCTTGCAAGGTTTAGGGGTCTCTCGCGCTTTTCGTCGGTCCGGGTCTCCTCGCGGTTGCCGCGCTCACGGGCGTCCAGCGGGATCGCCCGTGAGATGCAGGTGGCGCGCGCCTTTCCCCCGTTCGTTTGTTGCTATTTTGGTTGTGCGGGAAAAGGACAGTCCGTTTTATTGCAATACAAGCACATAGAAATCATCCGCAAAAAACCTTCCCGCTCATCCCGCGCCCTTGGACTCCCTCCCACGGCAATCACCCCCCACAAGACCAGCCCCAATATGCACTTTGATGGCGGGGGCTTATGTGACCCCGACGTCGGGTTCACTCATTCGTTTCTTTGCCATGGCTCCTCCACCCTTCATCCCTCCTTGGTCCTCCCTCCTCCCTTCTCGTCCCTCCCTCCTCGTTCCTCCCTCATCCTCCCTCCTCCCTCCCTCCTCGCTCCTCCCTCCTCCCTCTTCCCTCCTTCGCCCCCCTCCTACCTCCTTCGCTCCCTTCCTCGTCATCCGAACCATGGATAATCTTCAATGCCAGACAACTCGATTGAAGGCCATTCCCAGTGCTCCCATAGCATTTTGGCCTCATGTTTGCCTCGCCTGCGCCTCGGCTGTCCCGCGGCTGTCCCGCGGCTGTCCCGCGGATGTCCCGCGGCTGTCCCGCGGCTGTCCCGCGGCTGTCCCGCGGCGGGCCGCGGCTTTACTGGCCCGGGCCGCAGCTTTATTGCCCGACGGCCCGCTTTGCTTCGGCTGTCCCGCGGCTGTCCCGCGGCTGTCCCGCGGCTGTCCCGCGGCTGTCCCGTGGCTGTCCCGCGGCTGTCCCGTGGCTGTCCCGCGGCTGTCCCGGCGCAGTCTGGCGCTGTCATATTACACTTGAACATGTGTTTTCGGTCGCCAATACCAGCGGCACGCGGCACTCCGTCCGGCCCCACACAGTCGGTATCATCATTATAGTTGCATTGCTGCCTGCGGACACTGCTCGGAACAACGAGAAGGCGACACCAACTTGTTCATAGTATTGTCATTAAAGGAGTTGGGCTTCCCGGGGGCCTCCTGGGGGAGCGCCGTGGCCACTTGGAGCCGCCTTGGGGCGGCCGCGGGGCATCTCGGAGGCAAATTGGAAGGTATCTTGAACGACGTTGGGTGCTCATGAGTCATATTTGAGGTCATCATGGGCTTTCTGGGGCCGTCGCGGAGCCATCTTGGGCCATCTTAGGCGCTCTAGCCCATCGCGGGGGAAGAGCTTCAGACCCATGGTTTTAGGAAGAGGGCGACGCATGGGGGGGCAAAGCGATTCCCTGAGTCCATTCACGCCGATCGCTTCCAGTGAAAGTTCATGTGCGCGCCATTGTATTCACGCACGCGTTCTCGTGTGTGCGTGTTCAGTTGCGCGCGTTTTCTCGCGCGCGCATGCGTTTCCACACTGCCCTCCAATTATTGGCCATGTGTGTCTCGCCGTTTCGACCTACCGACGCCTGTTCTTACTGATGTTTGTAAGAGATCACATGCCCCGGAATTTCCTACACCTGTTCAACAACCAGGGCATGCATTCAATTGCACATGCACCTGCCGTTTCACACCGAGTTATATATGCCCGGACCTGCGTGTGCATATTGTGCCGTCTCGGCGCTCTCTTGTCGTTCGCCCTCCACGTTGCTTTCCTTTTCTGTGTCCGCCAGGTCCGTGACCGTGTCTGCTCCTATCAAGGATGTAGTTCCTATGGGTATCCCCTTCGTGGAAGATCGTCCCTGTGTCGCCGACATGCTACCCCGTCGCTGTGCTACAGCAGTGCTGCAGCTGCGCAGCCGCCCTCAGTCGTGCTGCTGCGGCTATGTCGCGGCGTCCCGCGGCGATGCCGCCCAAGAGCCCGCTTTGCTTCGGCTGCCCCGCGGCTGCCCCGCGGCTGTCCCGCGCGCCCTTTTCAGCGCAGGGCGGGGTCGACTCGACGAACGCAAGCCGCGGCCTCCTCAACTCCAGTGGGCTTCTCGGGGCGGGGGGCTCGCAGTATCCGCTCGGGAGCCTCGCCCGGACACCCTCTTGGAGCAGTTTTGGAGGCCTCTTAGGCAGTCTTTTTAGGTCTCTGGGGTCGTCTCGGGGCCCCCAAAAAATGTTTCCATGTTGGTTGTAACTGAATGTAACAGTATGCTCAATACTATCAAAGTAATTTGGTTGTCTGTGTTCCTATTTGTTTTGTTGTTCCTTCCTAGTCACACGTATCGCAAACAAATCCAAACACAACAACAAACACAACCAAACGCAACACATGCAAAGGATGCAAATGTAAAAAAAACCTAAAGCAAAGAAATCAAAAGAAGCCATTCATATTTTGATTACATTTCATACTTTGAGTACATTTAAGTTTATTTTGGCTTGAATTTTTCTTTTGTGATATGGTTTGGGGGCTTTCTTGGTGGCCCAACGTCTGGGGGCGTTCATTGGGGCTTCTCAGGCAGTTCTGAACGCGGTGAGCCCCAGAACGTCGCACATCCGAAAAAAATAAGTTCTCCGAAAGGGAATGGGATGATTTGTGCTTGTTGGGGCCCTCTTGAGAGCTTCTTGAGGCTCTCTCGGGGCTTATCGGTGGCCTCCAGGGCAGCGTGGAGGCCATCTCGGGCGTCTTGGAACGATCTGTCGGCGACTCGGGGCCTCTCGGACCGCGTCGGGAGCGCAGCGGCGCCCTCATTGGCGCGTTCCTGGAGCGCTCTGGGGGGCCCGGCCAGGCATCGGCCGGGGTTCCTTTCGCCCGGGCCCCGGGGGCCGCCCCGCGCGCGCGAACTAGACCTCCTGAGAACTACGGGAGATTTTAGCACACCTCTGGCCCGCCAGTTCGGCGTGCAAAGTATCGAGTTATTGGCTTTACCCAAAGCGCACCTTCACCTCGAGGAGCAGGACATCACTGCCCAGGAGCGTTGGAAGAGACCAGGGAACCAGGCGTCGGACAGAACTGCCAACGCCGGAGTCAACCTGCACCCTGTCGCTCCTTACAGTGCCATTTTAGATACGCGGATCATGTAGTAAAATGAAGGGATCCAGTACTAAAAACAACGATGATATCATGCATAAACTTATTCATAAATTAGTCATGTATTAAAATCATACATTGTTTAAACATCCTATGTATTACAAACTGCCCTGTATGTTGCACCGGTGGCCCCGCATGGACCTCAAACCAGTGCCCGCACGTCGCCCTCGACGGGCCCCCCGGGGGCACACACGGGGACACCAGAGAGGATGCCATGCGCTGCAGCAGTCGCCGTCTCGTGTGTTCTTAGGGGGCCACATGCGAACCCTACCCCGGCCCCCCACGATTTCCGAGGGGGAGGGTGGGGTTCGCATGTGGCCCCCTGTTTCTGCGTCTGCTCACGAGTCTCCGCGCGGTCTGCGCGCGGGATTGCGGGCGCTCAAGACATCGTTTGCTGCATGCGCCGCGGTGCGCAGCCCCAGCGAGCCGAACGGCATCGACCATGAGCTTGGCGACGGCAACGATAGCATTCGGGAGGTGAGCGGGGCGATTCGGTTGGGTGGGAGCGACCATCACGACTTCCATGCGCTGCAGCATTGGCTCCGCTACTCTTTCTTTTTAGTGCAATGCTTGCTGGAGAACGGCGTCCTTCGACGCTGGGTATGTCACCGAGCTCTGCCAAGAGGCCACAAAGAAGGGCCGCGAAAGTTGAGTTAGCATTGCGAAAATTAATTACTCTGGATACAGAGCCCCCCCTGCTGCCGCGGAACAGGCCCAGGACGCCAGGGCCAGAAATGAACGCGCTCTTGCCCAGAATCGGCCACCTTTGCTGCGTTGTAGCGAAGAGTCCAAGGTGGTGATCCCCCACTCGAGGAAGAGGTCTGCTCAGATGTGCAGCTTTTGACCGTGACTGAGTCGCTCAGGGTCGAGGCCTCTGGTCAGAGCTGCCCGTGCTTGTGTCGGATAGTCGGACGATTCCGACGAAGTTTTGTTTTCGCTTCTTGGTGCTCCAGTACTGTCTACGCGCGTGAGTCACCGCAGGAGGCGGCTGGGGACCGACTGGTCCTCCCAGCGCTGGAGCAGTGGACATCGAGAGCTGCTGTTACCTTCAACCCATTGTGGGGTCATTCCGGAGTCCTGTTAGAAAACGTCCCCCCCTTCCCCCCGCCCGCTTCTCCCACGATTCTGCCCCCAGGGTGCTGAGTTCAGTCTGTTCTGCATCACCACGAGATGGCGGAAATCTGGGAAATCCTTGACAAAAGACTTTCCTCCGCTTCTCGGGCAAGCCATGGGGGCACAGGAGCCGGGGGCGTCAGCGAGGCGATCGCCAGCGATAGGCAGCTGCAGACAAGGGCAGGCAAGGCAGCGAATAGCAGCCACCCAATTGGCCTGTGAACCTCTCGTCCACGACCAAAGGCGGAATGGCCTTGATGCTCGTGATCGGAGTGTCGTCGAAAGCGGGCACACCAGCCAATCTCAACCCGATTCAACACCCCTCCAACACGAACAGGGCGGAGTGGCCGGGATCCTCGTGATAAGACTGTCGTCGAAAACGGGCAAACCAGCCCACCACCTAATTCGACGTCGTCCTCCCCCCCCACGCGACCAAGGCGGAGTGACCAGGATCCTCGTGGTAAAGGGTGGCGTCGAAAGCGGGCAAGCCAACCAACCTCCATCCAATCCAACGTCGTCCTCCCCCCCCCGGAACACGACCAAACGCGGAGTGGCCAGGATCATCGTGGTAAAGCCAACCCACCTCCATCCAAGTCAACGTCGGCCTTCTTCCCAAGAACAAGACAGAAGGCGCAGTGACCAAGATCCTCGTGGTAAATGTGTCGTCGACATCGGGCAGACTGACCCACCCTCATCCAACTCAACGTCGGGCTTCCCCTCCCCGAACACGACCAAAGGCGGAGTGGCCAGGATCCTCGTGGTGAAAGTGTCGGCGACAGCGGGCAGACCACCCCACCCGCATCCAATCCAGCGTCGGCCCTCCCCCTCCCCGAACACGACCAGAGGCGGAGTGGCCAGGATCCTCGTGGTAAAAGCGTCGTCGGCAGCGGGCAGACCACCCCACCCCCATCCAACTCAGCGTCGGCCTCCCACCCCAAAAGAAACGGACAGGCGAAGGAGTGCAGTTGCAGTCTGAATTCCTTATTATTATTCTTATTATTATTATTACTATTACTATTATTATTATTATTATTATTATTATTATTATTATTATTATTATTATTATTATTATTATTTACGTCGGCCTGCCCCCCCCAAAAAAAAACGAGCCCAGGCCACGCCGCGCGTGTGCGCGGCGCCGGCGCCGGAGCGGTCCACCGCGGCGCGCCCGCGCCCGCCGCCGCTTGTTTTGCGACGGCGCCGCCGAGCCGTCGTCGCCGTCGCCGTCGTCCCTACGTTCGGCGGCGAGCCTGGGGGGGAGGCGGAGGAGGAGGAGGAGGAGTAGGAGGAGGAGGAGGAGGAGGAGGAGGAGGAGGAGAAAGAGGAGGAGGAGGAGGAGGAGGCGGAGAAGGAGGAGCAGGAGGAGGAGGGGGAGGAGGATGGGGCGAGAGTAACTGAGTAGGGGGAAGGTCCCCCTTCTCTAGGGGGGCGAAGAATGACACAAACAGAAAAACTATGAGGTCCGCACGGATTTCTCGGATCGGCTCTGGACCCCCTCCGTGGCCCGCGGAGCGCGCCAGGGGCGGCGCCGGAGGCGCCGCCAGGGGGCCCCCAGCGCCAATCCGAAAAATGTTCGCAGATCTCACAGTTGTTATGTTAGTGTCATCCTTCGCTCCCCTAGAAGAGGGGACCTCAAAAGGCTCGGACGTCCTCGGGCCTTCTGAGAGAAATGGCCTACGCGTTCGCCGAAGACACAGAAGACTTCTCAGAAGGTCCGACGGCTTCTGAGAGGCCCTGCCACCTTTTGAGAAGGCTTTGTTCCGTCTCGCATTCCCCTTAGGCGCGCCGCCGATACGTGCAAGAGTGACCATTCAACGGAGTGGCCTTTGGTTCAAGGGCAACGCTAGAGATAGGCTGAGGGGGGATGCATCGACCATGAATCGCCCATTCATCGTCGATCAGGGCCTGGTAACCCCATCCCGCCCAGGAACATGCGGATTCTCTATCGGGGATCGGGGACCTATCGCCGATCTATCGGCGATGTCTCGCCGACCTATCGGCGATGTCTTCGCCAGTCCCCCCCGCTCGTTGCTCCTCACTGGTGCAGGCTCACTTGGGGTCCCCCGATCGCCGACTGTGCTGCGACAGAGGCGGCTCGGGCGATTGGGTCCGGTCTCTTCGCGCTCCCCCTGGAGCCGCGCACCGGAGGCCACGCGTGCTTAGGGCAACTCCTGCGTGCAGCCGACTTCTGCCGCCTGCGGCAGGCCCTCGTGTCGTGTCGACGCGGCTGCGGCCCCGCCGCCGGCGATCAAGGTTGAAGAACGCTGGGTCTTGGCATCGCTCGGACGTGTGCATTTTTTCTCGGCGAGAACCATCGGGGGCCATCCTGGACCATCGAGCCAAAAAATTCACGCACGAAACCGAACAATGCACGGGAAATGGACGTCCGAGCGACGGCAAGGGGTCGTGCGATCGGAAAGCCGCCGTCGGCTCAAAGGTCGAACGATCCACGCGGTGTCAGAAGCCAACGCTGGGGTCCTCGCGACACGAGCCCGCCGTACGCCGTGGTCGTCGTCGCGTGCGGCGTCGGAGGCGCGAGGGTCGAGGCGCCATATCATGGAGGTCCGGGGCGTCGTGGCCGCTCGCGGCCACGGCAGGATCCCCCCGAGATTCTGGCCTGAGCGCACCGCAGGACGGCTCCAGGGGCTCGTCGTCGTCGCTCTCGTCGTCGCTCTCGTCGTCGCCGACGTCGCGTTCGTCGTCGTCCGTCGTCGTCGATGTCGCGTTCGTCGTTCTCTGTCGTCGCTTTGGTCATCTGCCGTCGTCGTCATCGTTTTCGATGTCGTTTTCGTCGTCTCCCTCCCCTCAAGAGACGTGCGCTGTATCATCAGCATCGCCATCAGCATCAGCATCAGCATCAGCATCATCATCAGCATCAACATCAGCATCAGCATCATCAGCATCATCATCAACATCATTCGCATCCGCATCATCATTATTATCATCATCAGCAGCATCATCATCATCATCGTCAGCATCATCGTCATGAGCATCATCATCAGCATCAGTATCGTCATCATCATCCGCATCCTCATCATCAGCATCAGCACCATCTTTTCATCGCCATCGTCATCGGCATTGGCATCATCATCGTCATCGTCATCGTCATCGTCATCATCGTCAGCATCGCCATCATCATCTTCATAAGCAGACGCGGCACCATGATTATCAGCAGCAGCAGCACCACCATCGTCATCATCACCATCATCATCACCATCATCATCATCATCATCATCATCATCATCATCATCATCATCATCATCATCATCATCATCATCGCCGTCGTCATCATCATCATCAGCACCATCATCCTTATCATCAGCATCATGCTTGTGCCCCACGGTAATGATCCGACCTCGTCCTCCGTACACCGCTCTGTAGGCCTTTTGGTTGAGGACGGAAGCCTTTGTTGGAAGCCTTCGGCTCCCTTCTGTCCAAACCCTCCGCCCTCCGCGAGTTGGCGCTGATCCGCGCCTTTCTCTTGGCCCCGAGAGTCTGCGAGTGTGTCTGCGAGGCGCCCGCTCCCGAGAGCGGGGTGTAGGGGGAGTGCCGTCTCTTGGCCGAGATGGTTGGTAAGCCTACCCCGAGCGCGTGCCAGTGCGACTGAAACTGCAAAGTGGAGACCGTGAACGACCTGTCTGTGATTTTGTGGTTGGTGTTTCGTGTTGCAGCCGCTTCGGCGGCCTTCGGCCTGGAGCTGCTGCTTGGACGAGGGCTCAGCCGACGTGCGACCGCCCCCACCATCCAGTTGCAGTCCGTGGCCACCGATACCGACGATGGCGACGCCCGCGTGGTTAGCCTCATTCCGACCGGATGGGGCATCCCACATTTTAGGGATAATGCACAGCATGCCCATCCAGCGGAAGGGCCCCAGGAAGCGGAATGATCCGCCGGTCCTTCCGAATGTGCACACGCGTTGATGAGCCAGTTGTTGTGTTGATTTTTCTTTCGACATGTGATCATGGAGCGTTGCCACGCCCAGAGGAGTGGCATCGCTCTCAGAACGACCAGAGGTTTTGCGAAATACGATGTCCAGCGCATGCTCTGCCGCGACCGATGCCGCAGGTGGCCGAGTTTGCAGGTTTCACTGGTTCAGTGACTCGTCGAGCAGGGCTTCCAACCATGGGTTCCGATTGCGCAGGTGCGATTGCAATTAAACAATATTCGTCGTCGCTTGAGGGGCGATCGCCGTGCAATCAATTGGCAGCCGTTGGCCTTCACCCCTAACCACGACGAGATGACGGCCGTCATCGGCAGGCAAGATCAATTCGCGAGTGCGTCCTACAAGCTCGCTATGAAATCATTACCGAGTTCCCTTGATCTACAGGGGGGAGGGCGGCGTCGAGCGCGGTGCCTTGCCAAAGGCTGGCCGCTCCCCGAAATGTCGCCGCCCGTCACCTTGGATAGCAATTGTCTCGAGGTGCGAGTCGCGTTGCCGCCCTTCCTGACAATGGGATCCAGGTACTAGGCCGCCGCCACGCGTGCGCATCAATACCCTTGCGGGTCTCGACCTTCATCGAATCTCTGTTCAGCATCCTTCGGTTGTATTGTCGAGATGTTCGGAAGTTTGGGACTGGTTCATGTGCTGCGTCTTTGCATCGATCGACTCGCCTAGGATGTGCAATGTACATCACAAGGATTGCCCGGCAGCATTGGGTGCCCGTCGGAGATCCAAATCGGGAGGTGTCGTGCAGGGCAAGCACCCCCAGTTCAGTAAAACATGTGTCATTGTTGGGGGGAGAATGCCCTGGGCACATTGTTCTCTGCTTGCAAACTGGATTAAGGTTTCTGGACCCACCGCATTGCAGGACGGAGTCGCCAGGCCGAATGTTGGGCAGGAGGGGTTGTTCATAAGTGTGCTCTTCCTCCTCCTCCTCCTCCTCCTCCTCCTCCTCCTTGTGTTCGCTCATGCGTGCGGCTGCCACCAGGCAGATAGGTGGCAACAGGGCCCCCAGAACCCCCAGAGGCCCAAACTGGAGCCAATACTCAAGCCACGGCCCCCGATCGTCGAACTCCGAGCCTCCTTCTCCTCGGTCCTCGCTGTTCGAGCCTCCCACTTCCCCCCACCCTCCATCCCGAACGGGCCTTTGGCACGGGCCCGGCCCCCCCCTTCTCTCCAGCTCTGCTGCGCGCAAGAGAGACCCCCCTCCAGACAGACCAATGGCGCGCGGTTTTCAAAGGCGCGGGGCGCCAGTGGTGCGGGGGGGGGCGGCACGCCCAACACACACAGACAGGCCGGGCCGCTATGGCCGCGCCGCGTGCCACGATCGGCAAGCCGCTCCTGCCGAGGGTGGCAGCTCTTTTGCTTGCGGTCCCCAGGCGAGCGCACCCCGCGGGTCGAGATCCGCAAGCCGCTGACCGACAAGCGGCGCCACCCCCTCCCGCGCCCCCTTCCGCTCGCCCTCCCCCTCCTCGAGGATCGATATGTTACCCGTCCTCGAGGTTCGAATCGGGACACGTGAGACTCGAGGTTGCCAGAATGAGGGTCGGCTGCCGCTGACTTGACGATCCCAGCGCGAACGTTGACGGCCTGGCGGGTGAGGGGGAGCAGGGGGACCAAGCGGAGGAGGAGGAGGAGGAGGAGGAGGAGGAGGAGGAGGAGGAGGAGGAGGAGGAGGAGTAGGAGGAGGAGGAGGAGTAGGAGGATAAGACTAATACTAAGTAATGAGAAGGAGGAGATGGGGAGGAGGAGGAGGAGGAGGAGGAGGAGGAGGAAGAAGAAGAAGAGGGAGAAGAGGAGGAATGACAAGAGGACTACTATGAGGGAGGATGAGGAAGAAGACGAGGGAAATGAGGAGGGAGAATAAGAGGAATAAGAGGAGGAATGAGAAGAGGAAACAGAAGAGGGAGAAGAGGAATGATATTAAGATGAACAAGAATACTAAGCAGAAGAGGCATAATAATAGCTAATGAACAAGCAGGAAGAAGAACATGAAGAGGAAGCGGAAGAAGAAGAGGGATATTAATAAGACGAAGGAGAAGAGGAAACATAAGAGGAATACTCAGAGGATGAAGAAGGGGAATAATAAGTGGAATACTAATAATAAGAAGAGGAGGAGGAGGGAGGAGGAGGATTGCGGAGGGAGAACAAAGGCCGAGCAGGAGGGGTGGAGGAGGACGTAGATGAGGCAGCCGCAACCATTCTCCCATCGTCGCAGCGCCGAATGCGGATACGTACTCCTGCTCGCCGCCTGTTCCCTCCTGGTGCTCATCATAATCGTCGTCATGATGCTCCTCAGGTTCCGTCGTGTCATGGACCTCCCTCCCTAATCACCTGCATTATGTTTGCAGTCATTAGGCAAACTCGACATCCGCCCCGAGCCGTCAAAACTCTAAAAGGCTCAGGTGGAACTCTGATTGAACTTTGGCCCAGAACCCTGATAAATCTCAACCTCCGAGTAAGCTCCGGCCTCAAACTCTGAAGAACTCGGATTTAGTTTCGGGGAGTTTTCCCAGAAAGTTGTTGGGAGTTCCCGGATTTCCCAGTAGTTTTCCGGTAGTTTTCCTCGGACATTTTTTCTAAGTTTCCAGATCTCTTCTGAGTTTTCGGAGAGTTTGATACGAGTTGTTTTCGGAGTTTCCAGATTTCGGGAATTCCTTGGAGATTTCCGGGAGTTTGATCTGAGTTTTTCTGAGTTTCGGGACTTCCCGGGAGTTTGATCGAAGTTCTTCCGGAGTTTCGTGATTTCCCTGAAGTTTTCCGTGAGTTTGAGAGGAGTTGTTTCGGAGTTGCGGGATCCCCGGGGAGTTTGATCCGAGTTTCCTCGGAGTTTCGGGATTTCCCGGGGTTCTGAGCTGATTATTTTTGTATTTGCTGCGTTTCCCGCGAGTTCTCCTGAAGTTTGATAGGAGCATTGTTTTAAATATTGAAATTGTTTGGGAGTTCTCTGGAAGTTTAAACGGAGTTTTTTTTCTGAGTTTGGGATTTCTTGGGTGATCGTTTTTCAGAGTTTCGGGATTTCCCGAGACTTCGATCGGAGTTTTCGATAAGTTTTTGGATTTCCAGGGGGGGGGGTTGGCAGTTTGATCGGAGTTTTTTCGGAGTTGCAGGATTTCCCGGGAGTTTGATCGGATTTCCCGGGAGTTTGACCGGAAGTTGGAGTTTTCCAGGAATTGTCCCCGGGAGTTGTTTCGGAGTGTCTGAATTTCCCGGGATATCTCGGGCTGTTAGATCGGAGTTTTCTTTCATTGTCCAGATTTCCCGGGGGGGTGGTCCAGGAGTTTGATCGCGAGTTTTTTCGGAGCGTTGGGATATCCCAGGAGTTTTCCGGGAGTTTGCCACGGACTTGATGGGGAGTTTCGGGATTTTCCGGGAGTTTTCTTCGAGTTTTTTGGAGTTCAGAGTTTCCGATAAGAGATTAAACATAGTTCGAACATTTGGCTCGTTTTCTAGAATCTCTTCATGCGTCTTCAAACAGCGAATTCAACACCAGCATCGCCATCATCAGCATCGTCACGCTCATTATCACCACCAACCCTGTCCATCATCATCATGTGCTGCGAATTTGTTTGTGCATTTTGACAGTGGTACTAGCGCCGGGCATTGCTCCGCAGCCGCGTGGCGCATCGAAGATGTTACTGTCTGTGGTCACATTACAGTGCGGTCTTTCTGTAAGTCAGGCCAGAACTTCTGACACTGCTTCTTCATGTCTAGCAGAGGCAACCGCCATGGACGAGGCTGTTCGGGCGGTGGCTCACTAAAAGCAAAAAATACGGGCATGCTCCTCCTCTCCCTGGCGGTGCATCCCGCGCGCCGCTGTGCCAAGCGCCGGCACAGGACCTACCTGCACACGACCTTCGATTCGGGCCTGCGCGTGCTGGTCGTCAGCGACCCCGAGGCCGCGTCCCCCGTCCGAGGAACGCGGAGAGGGGAGCAGGAGGAGGAGGAAGGAGGAGTAGGATTAAGTCGGGCCTGTCCCTCTACAGGAGGTATGTTTAAAGATAGTCAAAGAATCGTACGGGGACGATTTTCCATTATTTATGTATTTTTGACCATTCTGGGAGTACGTTTCGAGTTTTTGTTTGTTCGCCCAAAATCCCCCTGTAGGGGGACAGGCCCGACCTAAGAGTAGGACGAGGAGGAGGGGGGACAAGGAGGAGGAGGAGGAAGGCGAGGGAAGATGGGGAGAGAGGGTTACGAGATGAGAAGGTGGAGGAAGGAGGAGAGCGGAGGGAAGAGAGAGAGAGGGAGGGTGCCGCGTCCAGCGCGTGCGCTGCGGCGCCTGTACAGCGGCGGCGCTCGCACCTACTACGAGAACGGCGGGGGTGAGAGCGAAGATGTGTGGTCCTCCACGGGAGCCTTAGAGGTCCCAAAATTCATTGCGGTTTGGGTGACTTTCTCCTTGATTTCGCCGGATTTCGTCGACATGTGGACGAAGTCTGAACGAAATCTGGACGAAAGGGTGAGGAGGGTTTGCCACGATCTCGACGAAATCCGCTCGAAATCATGTTTTGATATGGTCACCCAAGGCACCCATGAAGGCTTACCCAAGCAAAGGAGGAAGGGAGAGGAGGACAGAGGTGGACGGAGGACGACGGAGGATGAGGCAGAGGGCGGAGGAGGAGGAGGAGGAGGAGGAGGTGGAACAAGTGTAAATTCGAGACGCACCAACGATGTTGCAATAAACCCCACCGCCAGTTTCCCTCCTCACAGTCCCCTTACAAGGGTTTAAGTTCACTTAGGGAAGTGTCCCGTTGGAAGACAATGGTTTGAACATCCTTAACCGTGCCAAAGCCCCATGCCTGGCCTGGGACTGCAACGAATCAACGTTACTCGTGCATCCGGATGACCCCGAATCGTGCCAGAACATCGTTCTTGGGATTCTCAACACCGCGAATCAACGCAACGGCTGCGCCTTGACAGTCATGCATCACACGAGAACGCCGTCTCTGGGACGCCAGCCATAAGAAGCCTTGAAATTGCTGGAAGCTCTTGTCGGGGGTGGACAGAACCCCTAACAGTGACACGTCGATTAGTGAATTGTCCGTTTTCGGTTCTCGAGAGGGTGCCGTGGCCGTTATTTTTCAGGTTTGCGCCCGCCAGGTTTGGGCCTCATGTCGTTTTCACTAGACCACGTTTTACTAAAGGGGGGTCTGTCCATCCCCGATCTTGAGGCTTAAAGTGTGTGCGGCGATGGCGCGAGAGCCTCCATCTCGAGACGGGCCCGCCCTCCGCCCGTGGACCTCCTGCAGAATGTGTACCGCGGATGCGCGCGGCGCCCGGACGAGCGCCGCACGGGGAAGATCGCCAGCCCTCCATGCGTGAAGCCCGGGGGTGGACAGGACCCCCAACAGTGACACGTCGGTTCCCCAGGCGGTGGACGTGGACACGTCCCCGCCTCGCCAGGTTGGTCCGTTCGGGCGTCGAGGATCGGTGCTTTTGGGGGGCGCGGTGTCTTCCTCTCCTGGGTCTCCAATTGGGCACCCTCGTCGCCGCGCGCGGAGCCGCCGCGGAGCTCTGACCAGAGCTCTCCGTGAAGCCCGGGGGTGGACAGGACCCCCAGCAGTGACACGTCGATTAGTGAATTGTCCGTCTTCGGTTCTCGAGAGGGCGCCGTGGCCGTCATGTTCCAGGCGTGCGCCCGCCAGGTGTGGGCCCGAGGCCGTTTTCTCTGAGCCACGTTTTACGAAAGGGAGGTCTGTCCATCCCCGAGAAGCCCTGGCAAACTGTGGGAAAGCAAGGCCTGCGCGCGGCGCTGAGGCGAAAGCCACGTGCTGAACACGGCGCGGCCTCCCTCCGTGAGGCTCTGGCAGAATTCTACCATGAATGTGCGCGCGGCGCTGAGGCAAAGAGTCACATTTTGAGAACGGCCCGCCCTCCATCCGTTGAAGCTCCTGTGGACTCTTTGCAGGTGAAGGTGCGCGGCGCTCAGGCGAGAGCCACCTCCTGAAGACGCCCCGCCCTCCATCCGCGAAGCTGTTGCAGATGCGCAGCTTCAGGGTCCGAAGCGCCCGGGCCGCCCTAGCGACACGCCTCGGGGTGCGACAGGGAGGAGCTATGCACTTAGAAGGGAACGGCAGTAGGGGGGAGGACGGAGGAGGACGGAGGAGGAGGAGGAGGAGGAGGAGGAGGATGAGGACGGGGAGGAGGAGGAGAAGGACGGGGAGGAGGAGGAGCAGGAGGATGAGGCGGAGGCGGAGGGAGGAAGAGGACGGGAGGGAGAGGAGGACGAGAAGGACGATGAGGGAGGAGGAATGACGGGGGGAACATGCGGAGGAGGAGGGGAGGTTAGGAGAGGAGGATGAGGATCCAGATGTGTGTTTGCAGCGCGCTATCCGCATGGTTTGACACATGAGAAGAGGAGGAGGAGGAAGAGGAGGAGGAGGAGGCGGAACAGAACAAGGAAATGAAGGAGGAGGATCCGGGGAACTCCATCACAACTCGCACACGCGTCTGCATTTTTCCTGAGCGAACTCCTCGTTCTGCTCTGTCTTTCTCTCTCTCTCTCTCTCTCTCGCAGGCGCGCTCTGCATGCCTTGTAAGTATGCATCCCTCTACTCGTGTCTGCATAGCCTGGCAGACACACGCCAGCCGGGGCCTCCGTGTGTAGACACAGGATGCCCAACAAGTACCGCGAGTGCTTATAGTTTGAGGTGGCTGCTCGACGTAGACCATTGGAGTCGTACATTCCTAGGGCATGGTGCGGTTGCCCGGATCCCATGTGCATTGTGTTTGATTCGTTGGCGTCTGATGTCGATAGGGTCTCGTTTGAGGCATGCGGTATTGTTTCGACAGGGCGGGTTCTAACACGATGAATGGGATCGTGATGCCGCGTGCCGCACGAACGGCGTGTGCTCCAACGAGGCATCATGATCATGCTGTCTCATTTGGGACATGCGGTATTGTTTCGACAGGGCGGGCTCTAACACGATGAATGGGATCGTGATGCCGCGTGCCGCACGAGCACGTGTTGCCATGGGCCTGGCATGTGAACGGGCGGAGGCGTGGAGAGCGCAGCCACCCGTGAAGGCCAGGTAATCGCTCGCCGCGTCTACATGTCGAGTGTCCACCCGACGAAGGGGACTTCAGCACCGCGCGGGCAGTCAGGAGCAGTTATCGAGTTTCTGACGGGGCTGCGTTCTGCGTTCTGACGGGCTGCGTTCTGACGGGCTGCGGTTTTTTATCGAGCTACTGCGCGCTGCGTTCTGACGGGGAGCGGAACAAACAAGGAACAGGGAGCAGCAGCACTTGGAGCTTGCAGCACCCCCCCCCCAAGGCGACAGCGATTGGCAGTTCAACACGCGTTCGCATTCTGCGGTGGGCTTCGCCCCCCCACACGGGTCTGGGAAGAGTCGCTTGGGGAGCACATCGCCGAGATCTCCAGGGGCCCCAGGGAGGTCGTCAGAGGCGTCTGGGGTGAGGCCTGGGACACGGACTACAAACGTCACACTTATGCAACAGAGTCGGGGCGCTGAAGAAGGAACCCTTTTCGTTGGGGAGGGGCTCCGCATTCCTCAAGTGTTTCACAGCTTGCCTCAGGTTTTCCTCGTGTTTTCGATGTGGACTCGAAGTCTAACTTATGGAATGAAAGGGGCCTCGTTCCTTATTTAGGGTTCCTTAGGTCAACGCCCCGACTGTAGAGTCTTGCATTATCTTCGAACGTCAAGGAGGTGCCAGACGTTTCAAGAGCCACTTACAGCACGATGACTGGCAACGCGGGATGGAGGGCCGCGCGCGCAGCAGCGACGACGTTGATTCGGTACGAAGTGCCACAGGTAGTTGGAGTCTAGCGCCTCCGCCGTGAGGCGCCAGGAACATCAGCTACGTGAGCTGATTCTCACCCCCCTTTGCTATCCCCCCCTTTCGCCCGACCCGAGTGAGGTTCAAATTGTTTACGCTTCGCGTATCCCCACCAGCCCATCTCCCAGCAGCAACTCTTGCGAATCATGCCGACAGTACTGGTAGTAGTCGTAATAGTAGTTCTAGTTGTAGTAGTACGAGATGATGTAGTGAAACGAGTATGAGTAGTAGTAGTAGTAGTAGTAGTAGTAGTAGTAGTAGTAGTAGTAGTAGTAGTAGTAGTAGTAGTAGTAGTAGTAGTAGTAGTAGTAGTAATAGTAGTAGTAGTAGTAGTAGTAGTAGTAGTAGTAGTAGTAGTAGTAGTAGTAGTAGTAGTAGTAGTAGTAGTAGTAGTAGTAGTAGTAGTAGTAGTAGTAGTGGTGGTGGTGGTGGTGGTGGTGGTGGTGGTGGTGGTGGTGGTGGTGGTGGTGGTAGTAGTAGTAGTAGTAGTAGTAGAAGTAGTAGTAATCGTAGGAGTAGAAGTAGTAGTAGTAGATGTCTTTTGGAAGCCGCTCGGCGGCCTCTTGGGGCGTCTTCGGCGCCTCTTGGGGCCTCTTGGGGGCCTCTTGGAGGCCTCGTGGGGGCCTCCTGGGGACCTCTTGGGGCCATCTTTGGGCCTCGTGGTGCCTCCTGGGGACCTCTTGTGGGCCATCGTGGGACCTCTTGGGGCCATCTTGTGGACCTCTGGGGGCCATCTTGGGGGGCTTGTATGAGCGCTGCCCCCTCAGAAGGGCAAAATGAGCCCAACACCGTAGTAAAATCAATGATTTTGCCTTACAGGACGAGGGAAGCTTGAATGACTGCTGCCCCCTTCAGAAGGCCAAAATGGGGCCAACACCGTAGTAAAATCAATGTTTTTGGCTTCAAAGAAGAGGAGATGGTTTTTTCTGCCTCCCCCCCGTCGGGGCCAGAATCCTCGTGAGAGGTGTCGTTGTTTAGCCATCCCAGGAGTCAAAACAGACCCCTCCAACGACCCGCGAGACGCCCTCTCCAGGTCCAGGGGGAGGGGGTAGGGGGAGGGGTAAACCCCTCCCCGAAGGGGAAGAAGGGGGGGGTGAGAACAGAGAGAGCTCGCTAAACCACTCACGCCCAAAGGGCTGGTGGGATTACCAAAACAAGCCACGAGTGCCCAAAGAGCCCCCGAGACGGTCCAAGAGGGCCACAAGAGGCAAAGATCAGTGATTCCCTTGAGGGATCTGACGAGTAGTAATATGAACAGTCGTAGACGTAGTAGTAAGAGCAGCAGTAGTAGTAGTCCCAGTAGTACGAGTATCAGTGGTAGCAGTAGTAGTAGTAGTAGTAGTAGTAGTAGTAGTAGTAGTAGTAGTAGTAGTAGTAGTAGTAGTAGTAGTAGTAGTAGTAGTAGTAGTAGTAGTAGTAGTAGTAGTAGTAGTAGTAGTAGTAGTAGTAGTAGTAGTAGTAGTAGTAGTAGTAGTAGTAGTAGTAGTAGTAGTAGTAGTAGTAGTAGTAGTAGTAGTAGTAGTAGTCGTCCCAGCAGTAGTAGTAGCAGTGGTAGTAGTAGCAGTGGTAGTGGCAGTAGTAGTAGTAGTAGTAGTAGTAGTAGTAGTAGTAGTAGTAGTAGTAGTAGCAGTAGTAGTAGGTGTAGGAATAGTAGGAGGAGTAGTAGCAGTAGGGCTCGAACGAGTCGTAGTCGTCAGAGTAGGTATAGTTGTAGTAGTAGGAGATGGTGTAGTGATACGAGTATGAGTACGAATTCCAGTAGTAGTAGTCGTAGGAGTAGAAGTAATAGTATATGTCTTTTGGGAGCCTCGTGGGGCCTCTGGAGGACCTGTTGGGAGCATCTGTGGGGCCTCTTGGAGGCCTCTTGGGGGCCTCCTGGGGGCCTTTTGGGGCCATGGCAGTAAGAGTAGAAGTACTAGTAGTAGACGTCGTCGTCGTAGGAGTCGAAGTAGTAGTAGATGGCTTTTGGGAGCCTCTTGGGGCCTCTTGGGGACCTCTTGGGGGCATCTGTGGGGCCTCTTGGAGCCCTCTTGGGGGCCTCCTGGGGGCCTCTTGGGGCCATGACAGTATGACTGGTAGTAGTAGTCGCGTAGTAGTAGTAGTAGTAGTAGTAGTAGTAGTAGTAGTAGTAGTAGTAGTAGTAGTAGTAGTAGTAGTAGTAGTAGTAGTAGTAGTAGTAGTAGTAGTAGTAGTAGTAGTAGTAGTAGTAGTAGTAGTAGTAGTAGTAGTAGTAGTAGTAGTAGTAGTAGTAGTAGTAGTAGTAGTAGTAGTAGTAGTCGCCGTAGGAGTAGGAGTAGGAGTAGGAGTAGGAGTAGAAGTAGTAGTAGATGTCTTTTGGGAGCCTCTCGGAGGCCTCTTGGGGCGTCTACGGCGCCTCTGGGGGCCTCTTGGAGACCTCTTGGGGCCATCGTGGGGGCCTCTTGGAGGCCTCTTGGGGGCCTCCTGGGGACCTCTTGGGGCCATCTTGGGGCCTCTTGATGCCTCCTGGGCGCGTCTTGGGGCCATCTTGGAGGGGATGGATCCAAGAAGAGGGGAGCTTCAATGAGCGCTGCTCCCTCGGAAGGGCAAAATGAGGCCAAAACCTTTGTAAACTTAATACTGTTGCCTTGAAGGGAGGGGGGAGCTGTCATGAGCGCTGCCCCCTCGGAAGGCCCAAATGGGGCCAAAACCGTAGTAAAATCAATGATTTTGGCTTCAAGGCAGAGGAGAGGGTTTTTTCTCTCCCCCCCCGTCGGGGCCAGAATCCTCGTGAGGGGTGTCGTTTTTTAGCCCTCCAAGGAGTCGAAAAAGACCCCTCCAACCACCCGCGGAACCCCCTCTCCAGGTCCAGGGGGAGGGGGTAGGGGGAGGGGTAAACCCCTTCCCGAAGGGGAAGAAGGGGGGTTGAGAACAGAGAGAGCTCGCTAAACCACTCACGCCCAAAGGGCTGGTGGGATTGGACGGAGGAGGAAGATGAACTTGTAGCACCAGTCCACCCAGAAACGATTCCCGGGCGAGCCGTCGCGAGAAAGGCAGTGCAGTGAAGCAAGACGGGGGCACCAGTCAACTCGAAGCTGGGATCAGCCAGAGAGGTCTTGCGCCCTCCCCGTGAGCTTCGTGTGTGGAAAACTGTGTCTGTGGGCTTTGGCTGGCATGTTCGTGTATCTCGTTTTAATACAACTGATACAACTGTCGTTTCGAAGGAGCACGCCCATTTCGGCCAGACTGGGGCCCCGAATGGCCCAAAACCCGAACCAAACGCACACAAATACCACCATCGGCTGGGAGGATGGACAATGGCGTCCGCGGTTCGGTCGGTTCAGTTGCGTCGCAGTCGGTGCGGTTCGGTCGGTCGTTTTGTTGTTTCTGCGTCGTTGCACCCTCCCAGGTTGGTTGCGGCCTGTCGGTTGCGCTTTCGCTGTTGATTCGGTCGGTGATCGGTTATGTTGTCGCCGTGAACGAGGAGGAGGAGGAGTGAGTATAAGAAGGGAGGCAGAGGATGGACGACAAAAAAGAAGAGCAAGAGGACGATGACAGCGGAGCACCGTGCTGGCCATCACTTTTCGTCCTCCGCCTCCTCCTCCTCTTCCTCCGCCCCCTCCCCCTCCTCCTCCTCCTCCTCCTCCTCCTCCTCCTTCTCCTCCTCCTCCTCCTCCTCCTCCTCCTCCTCCTCCTCTTGGCCATCCCTCTTCCTCCTCCTCCTCCTCCTCCTTCTCTTCCTTCTCCTCCTCCTCCTCATCTTCTCTGCTGGGCCGTGGGGGCGGTCTGCCCGCGGCGTTAGCTCGAGCTCATCGTGCTCCTCCTCCTGCTCCTCCTCCTCCCCCTCCTCGCTCGACCTCTCCCGATCCGGCGGCGCAGGCGGAGAAGACGAGCTTCGCGGTGGCGGTGGAGGCCGGCTCGCTGGAGGACCCGCCGGCCTTCCAGGGCCTGGCGCACTTCTGCGAGCACATGCTCTTCCTGGGCTCCCAGAAGTACCCCGACACCGAGGCCCCGTTGGGGGAGGAGGAGGAGGAGGAGGAGGAGGAGGAGGAGGAGGAGGAGGAGGAGGAGGAGGAGGAGGAGGGAGGAGGAGGAGGAGGAGGAGGGGGAGGAGGGGGAGGAGGGGGAGGAGGAGGGGGAAGGGGGGTTGAGGAGGAGAAGGAGGAGGAGGAGGAGAGGAGGAGGAGGAGAGGGGGAGGAGGGGGAGAGAGGGGAAGGGGGGGTTGAGGAGGAGGAGGAGGAGGAGGAGGAGGATGAAGAGGAGGAGGAGAGGAAGGAGGAGGAGGAGGAGGAGGAGGAGGAGGAGGAGGAGGAGGTGGGGGAGGGGTCTGCGCCTCTGCGCGCCTGGCGCGCCGCCGTGCGGCTGGGCGCCTCCGCACGCGCGCCCAGCGCTCCAGCGCCAGCGCTCGGCATCGCTCGGACGTGTGTTTTTTTTTTTGTTCTTGGCGACGACCATCGAGGAGCATTCTTAAACATCTGGCGAAAAATACTCGCACGAAGTCGAGAAATGCACGGGAAATGGACGTCCGAGCGATGGCGAGCTCAGCGGGTGTTTGCAGCCGATGCGGGTGTTTCGAGCGTGCTCCTCCCTTTGCCCGCACGCTGCCCTCTCCCCCGCCGCCTCTCGTGCCCAATGCGGTTACGTGCACGCCACGTCTGCCCCGGGACGCGGGCAGGATCCGCGCCGCCTCGACGAAAAGAGAGTGTGTGCGTTGGGCGCCCGGCGAAGGGAGCGGCGCAGGCCGATGCCCGAGCGCTCCGCCGGCTCGGGGCAGGGCTGCGCGGGGCCCGAGCCACGCGCCGCACCGCTCGTCATGGTGCGACGCGCCGGGCCGATGGGCGACCGCCCAGCGTCGGTGGTTCAAAGATGGGGTCCTGAGGGACGGGGTCCTGAGGGCGAAAGGGATATCCAAGGGTGAATTTTCGGGAGCCTTGAGACGGGGGTCAGTGCAAACGGGGGTCAGCCACGGCACCGGATCCTGCAGGATCCTGCGAAGGCCCCGTTTGGCCGACCTGGGTTAGCGAGCCGCTCGTGGCCGCGAGGCGGCCGCACATATTGGCTGACCCGGGTTTGCGAGGACCTGCGTTGCAGTTTTTTTCCTGCATTGCAGCTTTTGGTTTCTTGCTGACCCTAGTCTGGATTGACCCGGGTCAGAAGATCCCCGAAATTTACATTGTTTGAGGCACCTCGCCGTTAGGACCCCATCCCCCAGGACCCCACATTTGAACCACTAACAACAAAGTTTTGTGGGAGGAGGTTCGACGATCGAGGTTTCTGGATGCTGTCAGCCTTTGTTGGGCTGGGCCTTCGGAGTGGTCTAGCTCGGCTTTTCGTCGCCACAGCTGGGTGAATGGAGTCCGACGGAAATTCGATCCAAACGCAACCCAGGACAGGTCCAGTCCAATTCTTGAGTGGAGAGAAGAAGGACGAGGATTTACATGGCCCTCCTGTACCACTGCCAATCCTGTGACTTGCAGCCGTCAAAAGTGCAACGCTGTGAAAACATCATGGTTGCACACGTCTACGGTAAATCATCGCCGCCCCCTGTCTTCTGGAAGCGTGTGCGTGGTGACATGTAGAAAGGCGGTGCGGTCATGGATGGTGTGTTTCCCCGGCGCTTGGGGAAACCTTTGACGGAACACCTTGGGACATGCCGCGTTCGGTCAGTTAAGGGTTTTTGGGGGGCCCTTTTGGGCAGTGTTAGGGTGTTATCGGCTCGTCTGGCGCCTTTGGAGATCGTTTGGGGCAGGGCATACGCACCCTTTAGGGAACCTCTTTGGAGCTCTTTCGCACCGCATTGGGACTCGCTTGGGCAATCGTGGGGCTCTTTGGAGCCGTTGTGGGGATTGTCTTGGGGCCCTCTTGGGGTCCTCTTCGGCCGTCTTGCGGCGATATTGGGGTCCTATTGGGCCGTCATGGGTTGTCGGCATTCCGAAATTGCGAGAACGCGAAAACACGGCATTCCGAAATTGCGAGAACGCGAAAACAAGTACGCGAACAAAAGTTTGACCAATAATTGGCGAACATCATTGACCTTGGCCCGATTGAACGCCTTGTTTGGGGGGTCTTGGAGCCTTTGGGGGGCGTCCTATGTAGCCGTTATGGTTCAGGCTTTGCCTGCGAGTGAAAAAACATGCTTCAGAATGGCACAGTGCTGTTGCGGGCTAACCTGGCTCTTGCAAATTCGCGTTCTCGTCCCCAGTTGCGCGCAGCAGCCGACACTATGGCTCGCCATAGCGCACGGCGAGAGGTTTGGGTGGCTCGGCGCCCAAGGGGGCGGCAAGGGCAGGGTGTCACTTACGCGCCGTGGTCATGTCTTTCAACTTGGCCTCCTCCTGTTCCTGGGCGTCAGGGCACACCCCGTCCTGCTTCTGGCGGGCAGCGCTGGGAATGCAACATCTGCGGATGTCGTCGCAACGCCAGCTGGTTCACTTGGCGCGGACATTGCGGAGCGACCCGTCCTCGTTCACCAGGCAGCGCGCGGCGCGGAGTGGGTGGGTCATCGATGTTTTCCACTGGCAAGGGTGGGGGTTCGCTTCCTTGGCAGTTTGGCGAGGGGGCAGGCTAGCACGGAAACCTGGCCGAGCCAAACGGCAGCAGCGCGCAGTTTACAGCGCGCGAGCGGTCCGCCGAGGAGCACTTGCAGATGGCAGCACTCTGCGTGAAGTTGGGCGACACCACCGCCGCCAAAATACCCTCCCCCAGCCCGAGAGCGCCTCCGAGTCCGCCTGAGGCCAGCCCCAAAGGGCTGACTTTGAAACGCGCGTTGCAGACAAGGAGATCGAAGGATCCGTCGTCAAGTTCGAAACCATTCCCAGACACTTGGAAGCTCAGTGGGCACACGCTCCATCTCTCAGGCAGGAGCTGGAGGAGGCGGAAGCTGGGCATGGAAAGATGGTCCGTCGCATGCACTGCCAGTTGCCAGCAGTTCGGGCCTCTGCGCCGAAGCTCGCCCTCGATGGCCCCCTTGCCCCCGAAGAGCTCGCCATCGATGGCACCCTGGCCCCTGGAAAGCTCGAGCCGCCGCGGGCCCTCTCTGCGCCGGGCACATCCAAGATCAACCACTTGGCGCACGAGCACAGCAGCGCCGACTCAATGGGGGCCCGGGGTCAGGGCCATCGCTAGGGCACGCCAAGTGTGGCAGCCGACCTGCCCAGGGCCCCGAAGGCCACGATCGACGCCCCACGCGCAGATCGACGAGGCCCAGGATGGGTCCGGCCAGTGTAGGCGTCGGTGTATAGTCTAGTTGGCGTCCTCCTGCGTCGTCGTCGTCGTCGTCGTCGTCGTCGTCGTCGTCGTCGTCGTCGTCGTCTCGTCGACAGGTGCCCCGTGCCCCGGGATGGCCGACGCTCCTCCTCCTGCTGCTGCTGCTGCTCCTCCTCCTCCCTCTCCTCCTCCTCCTCCTCCTCCTCCTCCTCCTCCTCCTCCTCCTCTTCCTCCTCCTCCTCCTCCTCCTAGGCGTCGCGCCATTCCCAAGCCAGCCCCATTTTGGCATCGCTCTCTTGGGAACAGAGCCGACCCCAGCGGCCCCGACCTGCCCAGGTCGGAGGTCGATCGCGCCACGTCCACAGGCGCTGCGGCACACCGCCGCGCACGGGCCCAGAGAGCAGAGGCACGCCGCATCGTCAAGGCCGCCCAGTCCACCCTCGAGGGCCACGAGTTCGCCCGCCAGGCCCAGCTGCAGCTCGGCCAACACCACGGTCATCACCACTTTGTGAAGATGGGTGGCAAGGCAGCACAGAAGTGGACCCAGTGCAAGCGCTGCAGCAACTGGGAGTGGAACAACAAGCTGGCGGCGCTGAACTTCCAGTGCAGGTGCGGGGCGCACTTCTCCAGGAAGGGCCTCAAGGACTCCGAGGGGGGCCACGCCCAGGGACGCGGGGCTGCCGCCGCTGCTGGGCTCACGCAGGCGCTCGAGAGCGTCTCGTCCCACCTGGCCAGCATGCAGCTCGCCCCAGAGGTCACCCAGAAGCTGTCCCAGGTCATGACGGAGGTCACAATGGCCACCCAGTCGACCGAGCCCAAGAGCAGGGCCGTCAGACTGTCGGAGGCCGCCAAGGCCTTGGAGCAGGCCTCCCAGCAGTACGATGCCGCCTTCAACAAGCGCGACGCGGCCAAGTCCGAGCTCGCCGAGCTGGAGAAGGACGTGCTGCTGAAGGCCCAGGCTGTGGTGCAGGCCGAGAACGCCGTGGCCGCCATCCAGTCGGAGGGGGCCCCCAAGGCGAACCTGTTGCACGACATCCTGTCCATGCCCCCGGACGCGTTGGCTGCGGAGTCCTTGGCAGACCTCGACAGCGCGCTGAACGTGGATGAGGATGAATTAGACGAGCAGTCGGTAAGGGAGGTGCACGCGGCGAAGGCCACGATGCTCAAGGAGTTCAAGGACCGCGCCGAGGGCTTCGTCACGCAGCTCCGAGCCCACGTGGAGCAGGCGAAGGCCAAGGCGGAGGTGGCGAAGGCGGAGGCCACACAGGCCGCCAAGAAGCGCAAGGCCGTCGGCGGGGCCGCAGCGCAGCCGCCGACAGCCGCCGCCCCCGCCCCAGGCGGCACGCAGCCGCCCGCCCCAGCCGCTGAGCCGCCTGCGGCCCCCTCGGACGGGGCTGCCGCGGCTGCTGCGGCCAAGGCGAAGGCGGAGGCAGCGGCGCGCCAGGTCGCCGCACAGAAGGCCGCCAAGGCGAAGGTTCTGGAGCAGGCGAGGGCGCAGGCAGGGGCGACGGCGCCCACGCCTGGCGGCGCCTCCGCCTGACGGCCCAGGGGACCTGGTCGAGCCACGACTGCCGATGCCAACCCTCGGTCGACCAGGCAGATCTTTATCGGCAATATCAACACTTGGGGGAAGTCTGCTAACAAGTTCGTCAGGGAGTCGATGCTCACAGACTCATACGACGCTTACCTGTTGCAGGAAACGCACGTCCGCTATGAGGGCATAGAGACCGCAGAGAAGGAGTTGCGAGGCTGGGGCCTCAAAGCTGCCTTTTCCGCAGCTAGACCCAGTGAGTCTTCGAAG